CGTTTTTTTTTTGTTAAGTTTCTGTCTGGTGTTCCTGTCCAGTGGTGAAAGTGGGGTGTTGAAATCTCCCACTATAAGTGTGTGCGGTTTTATGTGTGACTTGAGTTATAGTAAAGTTTCTTTTACAAACGTGGATGCCTTTGTATTTGGGGCATAAATGTTCAGAATTGAAACTGCATCCTGATGGGTTTCTCCTGTGATGAGTAGGAAATGACCTTCTTCATCTCTTTTGACTGATTTTAGTTTAAAGTCCAATTTATCTACCCCTGCTTGTATCTCGGTTCCACTTGATTGGAAGATCTTTCCCCAACCTTTAATTCTTAGGTACTTTCTTTGAGATTGAGGTGAGTTTCTTGTATGTAGCAGAAGGAAGGATTCTGTCTTCTTATCCATTCTGCTAATCTGTGTCTTTTTATAGGGGAGTTAAGACCATTAATGTTGATGGATATTAATGAACATTGATTATTGTTCATTCTTGTTTGTTTTGATTTGGTGATGGTAGCAAGATTATGTGTGGGATTCTATCCCTTTTTTCTTTTGACTGTTGGTAAGTTGGGATTATCTATTGCCAATGTTTTTCTGGTTATAGTTAACTTCCCTGGGTTGCAGTTTACCTTCCAGGACTTTCTGTAGGGCTGGATTGGCGGATATGAATTGTTTGAACCTGGTTTTGTTATGGAATATCTTGTTTTCTCCATCTATAGTGATTGAAAGCTTTGCTGGGTATAGTAGTCTGGGCTGGCATCCATGGTCTCTTAGTGTAGGTAGACTATCGATCCAGGACCTTCTGGCTTTCAGAGTTTCCAAGGAAAAGTCAGGTGTGATTCTGATAGGTTTGCCTTTATAGGTCACTTGACATTTTTCCTTTGATGCTCTTAATATTTTCTCGTTGTTGTGTATGCTTGGTGTTTTGATTATTATGTGGCAAGGTGACCTTTTTTTTTGGTTCAGTCTATTTGGTGTTCTGTAGGCTTCTTGTATTTTCATTGGCATGTCTTTCTTTAGGTTGGTGAAGTTTTCTTCTGTGATTTTGTTGAATATGTTTTCTGCGTCTTTGAGTTGGATTTCTTCACCTTCTTCTATACCTATTATTCTTAGGTTTGGTCTTTTCACAGTATCCCATATTTCCTGGATATTTTTTGATAGGGGTTTGTTGGACTTAAGATTTTCTTTGGTTGATGAATCTATTTCCGCCAGTGTGTCTTCAACTCCTGAGATTCTCTCTTCCATCTCTTGTATTCTGTTGGTTATGCTTACATCTGTAGTTCCTGATCGTTTACCCAGCTTTTCTATTTCCAGCATTCCCTCAGATAGTGCTTTCTTTATTGTTTCTATTTCACATTTTAGGTCTTGAACTATTTCTTGTATTTTTTGGTTTGTTTTGCCTTCAATTTCTTTAAGGGATTTTCACATGTCCTCTTTGAGGTCATCTTTGAGGTTCTCTATCATTTTCCTGAAGATGTTTTTAAGGTCATTCTCTTCTGGTTCATCTGCATCATTATGTTGAGGTCTTACTGGTGTATGGTTCCTAGTCTCTGGTCATGTCATATTGGGTTTTCTGTTGTTGGATGTGCTTTTACCTTGTTCTCTTCTCATCCTTTCTTCTGGTGGGTTTAGCAAGTGTTTCTTGTTCTCCTGGTGGGTTTGGGATGACGGTTCCCTTCTGGTAGAAGCAAACAGATCCAATACTCTGATGTCGGTTCTCTTCTCATGGATGGGGGTGTCACTCTTACCCGGGTGTCAGCAGTGTTCGGGCGTGCAGTGTCCCCCTGGGCCGGCAGTTGGAGGCAGAGCTGTCAGTGGGCCTTGGGGTGTTGGATCCAGCTGCCGAATTCCGTATGGCACGCAGGTCGCTTGCGTCAGATGACTCTGAGCATCGACGATGAGCAGGAGCCAGAAACAGCCCCTGGCTTACCTGGGCAGGCGGATGGAGGACGGGCTGCCCCTGGGTGTTCGGTGTTCGGAATCCGCCACCGCCGAACTGGGTCTGGCACACAGGTTGCTTGCCTCAGATGACTGTGGTTCTATACCTTTAATATTCTCATCCTTAGATAGTATCTGAATGGCATGTAAATTGCCTTCTAAATATCCAATCCTAGACTCTAGCTTTTGGCCTGTGGCAGTAGATTCATCAGATGTGGAACAAATTGTCTGTGCCAGTTCGCTAATCCTGTCCTGGTTCTTAGCTATCTTTCCATTTAAGGCATCAGACATGGAACAAATTTGGTTTCTATTTGTCCATGAGTTTGTTCTACCTGTGTTAGTAATGTCGCATGACCAGACTCAATATCCTCAGCTTCTTTATGTGAACGTTTCATGTCTTGCATTTCAGAGATCAAGTTTTCCTGGCTGGCTTTTATATCTTGCATCTAACTTTCTAAGCTGCTCTTAATTCATACAGGTTCTTTTTCCTTTTCCCTGTGTCTCAGTCCTCTGGCTAGAGGTATCACATGAGCTATGAAGCTGACCACTAGCATAGTATATAGGTATGTTACCGGCAAGTCATAAGCCTCCTCTAACATTGAATTCATGTAAGAAGCAAGAATATTCCCAATTGTCTGCATTGTCGGATGTTCTGCTGTAATTTAAGTTTACCTTTATCAGTTTCCCTTCCAGTCGCAGTAACTGTGGTTGACCAGCATGTGGCACAGGTAGCCATTTGTGGTGGTGCAGTGTTCAGCTGCAGATGGTTAAATTGGTTTCCAGACAAGTCTGAAAAATATTTAAATGGCTTTCAGACTGAGTTAGAATGGATGGAAGGGATGGGCTTTTGTTAGAAGGAAGGGCCTTGGAAACCCCCCATGCCATAGCCAGTTCTGGGCACTGAAACAGTATCTGGTGCGATGCGACATCAATGAGGGAGACCGAGCCTGTAAATGGCTGTCAAGATCAGCACAGAGATGATGGCAGCAGCAGGTTCCTCTCAATGCAAAAGGGCGGTGCTGGAGAGAGTCGGTGGCCATGAGTGCTCAAGGGCATTTCTGGCAGAGGTGCCCCAGGAGAGGGGAAAGGTTACCCGGGCACCAAAGTGACAGGGGGATAAACCCAACCGCCACCGCCAGGGTTAATTAGTTCCCTAGGTCATGAACCACCCGTGGGTTCAAATTCAGTCCCCAAACTCCTGATACTAGATGTTGATGTTTACAAAGTGGAGTCACAGATAGGTTGATAAACAGTAGTTTATTGGGGGAAAAGTACTCACTCAAGGCAGCCAGTGACCAGGTTTGCACCAGATCAGGATGAACCCAGAAAATGCTTCGAAGTCAGCTCATCCAGGTTAAGGATAGCTGCATGCCTGCCTCCCTCCTTCTTAAACCCTTGTTACATAACTCTGACCAGGCCCAAGTGGGCATGGTCAGTGGTACCTCTTAATCAGTGTTTCTCCCTATACATCTTGTCAATTTAGTAGGGCTCACATGGACTCAAGGAGACTGAAATTGCATCATGGGGATGCATGAATGTATACCAGGTCCTCTGCATATGTTAAGAATGTTTGTTTTTTATTTCTAACAGTGTGGACAGGTGTATTTATGACTCTTTTGCCTGGTCTTGAGATTCCTTTCTTCCTACTAGTTGCCTTTTCCAGACTCCATATCAGAGCTTTTGCCTTGTGTTATTGTAACTTTCTTGGTTGTATTTAGGTATCATCTCTTGGAAGCCTGTTCTTTTCAAAAGAGGAAACCTAGGGAAAGTGGCTCTGAGAGAGTACAGAGATAGGAGGAGTTAGGAGGAGTGGAGGGAGGGAGAACTGTCATTTGGATGTATTGAATGAGAGAAGAAATTATTTTCAATAAAATGATTGTAAAAAATGGAAATCTGATAAAATAGTGGCTCTTATCTAACGATTTTCCAGGATCACACCTGCAAGATGGGATGGTATCACTGAGTCACTGAGGTCCCCATTCTTAACTGAACAACTGTGCAAAATTCCTGTCATCAAATAAAAATATTATGCAGTTGGTTCTTGTATGTGAGTACTACTGTGGGGATATTTATTTTGTTATATTAATATCAATATATTTACAAGAAAAATTTAAGTAAAAATGCAAGTATTGCCTCTATAAGGAGATTTTTTTCTTGCAAAGGACTCTTATCAGGGCCTCTTTCATATCTCTGTTCCTCAGGCTGTAGATGAAGGGATTCAGCATAGGAGTCACCACTGTGTACATCATGGCCATAACAGCCTCCTTCACAGTTGAGCTATTAGCTGATGGAAATATGTAGAGACCAATAATTGTTCCATAGAACAGTGACACAACAGACAGGTGGGAGCCACAAGTGGAGAAGACCTTGTAAATAACCTGAGCAGAAGAAACTCTTAGGATGGAGGAGACAATTTGTACATAGGAAACAACAATGATTAGGAATGGGATGACAATAACAAGTCCTCCCAAGATAAATATCATTAGTTCATTAATATAAATATCAGAGCAGGCCAACTTGAGCAGAGCAGATATGTCACAGAAAAACTGGGGGACCACATTGTCCTCACAGAATGACAATCTAGCAAAGAGTAGGGTGTGTAACATGGAATACAGCACAGTAAGTACCCAGGACAGTGCTACCAGATACACACAGAGCCTGGGGTTCATTATACTGGTGTAATGAAGTGGGTAACAGATGGCCACATAACGGTCATAGGCCATGACCACAAGAAGGAAACTCTCCATATCTCCAAAAACCATTAAAAAGTACATTTGTGTCAGACAGCCTGAGTAGGGAATTGATGGGTCATGACTCTGCATGTTCTGCAGCAATTTGGGCATTGTGACAGAGGAGAAGCAGAGATCAGAGAAGGACAAGTTGCTGAGAAACAAGTACATGGGTGTGTGGAGATGGGAGTCCAGTAGAATGAGGATGATGATGATAAGATTTCCCAGGACTGTGGTGAGGTACATGACCAGGAACAGGGCATAGAACAGGTTCTGGTGCTCTGAGGGGATGTGCAGTCCCAGGAGGAGAAATCGGAAGATGACAGTTTGGTTGTTCATTATCATTCTTCATCTCCAGTATCCTAGTCAGAAAATATCAGGGTCCCTTAAAATTCAAAATAAAAATGAACATATATTTAGTATATATATTCTAGAACAATGTATCTTGCAGACATCATGGTATGTATAATCTCAAACTTCTAATGTTAGTAATCATTACAATCATCAACGTTTTTTTTCTCAGCTTATCTAAACAGGTTTCTGTCTCCCATCCTTTCCTAGACAGTTGTATGTTTTTTTTTTTACTGAAATATAAAATAGAATAATGCTTCTCTCTCCCGCTGTCTGCTCAACTGTTGTTTGTAATTTATTCAGGTGTAATTTGCTCTATGTTATTTTGTATAATTGATGTTCTTGAAGTATTTATACAAATTTTATTATCATAATATTATATAAATTTCAAGAAAAACACACATACTTTAATGCCTTAGATTACCATTTCAAACCCAGACACACATGTCTCTGTAACATACAGATTACTTCTCCATTTCTCACTAATTTTCTTCCCTCCATTGAATGTATGACAGGCATCAGAAACTCAAAATCTCCAGGTGAAATTCATGTTTTCACTATTCTGTGTCACAAAACATTCCTCAATCTTCTACCTCCCATTCTCTAATAGTATTGCCAAGGAAGTTAAGATTTGAGTCAGAACTCTTTGAGTTTTGGTGCATTCATTTTTTTCTCTCCTTAAACTTCTGTCATGTATTATACAGAGTCTCCCCTTTATTATTCCTCTATTTCATCCATTCTTTCCTGTGAGATTGTATACATTCATGAGGATCGTATCTTATCTTTACTGGATTACAAAAGCAGACTCCATTCATGTCAATGTTCTTATGTCTCTTGACCATTCTCTTCTCTTTCAACCTGCATCACTTATAATGTGGCATTCTAACAGAAAAGAATTACATCATCTCTTTTCTGATTCATTCTTCATATTATTACAGTTTCTCTGATGATAAGAACAAAGATCCTACCAATAACACAAACGCTTTTTCATTATCCTCTATGTGCCAATGGTTTATCCCCATATGGTCACATAGTGACATTTCCCTTTCTCTCTTCGTGAATATAGGGATTAAAACTCTTCACCTTCCACATTTCAGAGATTATCTTCCACTCTCCTAATCCCCATATGGTCACATAGTGACATTTCCCTTTCTCTCTTCGTGAATATATTGATTAAAACTCTTCTCCTTCCACATTTCAGAGATTATATTCCACTCTCCTATCACTTCCCCTCTTCTTCTTCTTTTTCCTTTTGCTTCATCCTTACTCATTGGTAAGGAAGATTGCTTATCACATACCCAGCTAAATTTACTTTATCTCTCCATAAGTGAGACCTGCAGCCATGTTCCACAGTATCCTATATGTATCCCATGCACTTAATACTTTGATGACTGCTTTAAGATACCTCACTATCAATTGTAAACTATGTGGAGGAAAGGTCTCATATGGACTCTTTCTGTTTGTATTTTTATATCATTCCTAATCTCCAACTAGGGCCAATATCTATCATAGTGCATGAATTTGACCAGTGAAGGCTTGTTATCTGCTGCTCAAACTGACACAGATTTCTTCAACTTCAGAGGTAGAAAAATCCCCACTTAAATAGAAAGACTTGACCAATTAGCACTAAATTTTACACTTTATAATGAGTGTTGGAGATCTAATGTTGCATTTCTGCAGTGTTAGGGTTAATTATTTGTATTACTCCTCAGTAATGCTGATGAATCAAATCATATCATACTTTAACCCACAAATTGTCATTAATACTGATGCAGAAGTCAGGATGAGAAATTTTATGAATAATAAAAAGAAGAAGCAACAATTTCATTTGCAATCTCCACTTGAATTATGTCTATATTGTGTGTGATGGTTAATTTATTCATCAAGTGAGTTAAACCTGATACCAATTTTGGACCAATAATGGTTGCTATGCAGATATTCTTAATATTTTTGAGACAGGCTTTCTCAGTGTAACTATGCAAGTATTCTATATATGCCATTTAATCTGTAGACTTTGAGTAAAAGTAACTGACACTTCATAATCTGATGAGGTTCATGCAATCAGATGAAGTAATTAGAGGAAAAAGACATTACACTGCAGAAAACTGCGTTTTCTCCCTAAGATGTAACATGTAACCTTCATTCTTCTCAAGGATTCCAATATTCTAGAAAGTTCTTGAAATGTTCTTATAATCTTTCACACTAGGTAGTCTGTATCCTAAGTCACATTTGGGGTGCCTGGACACACACACACACACACACACACACACACACTACATGTGTTATTCTATGATTTTGTACAACATTCACTAATGAATGTATCACATGTCTCAAAGCTGACAAAAGAGAAAAATCAAGAGAGCTAAGCAACTTTCTCTGATATGCTATACCCAAGTCCAATTACTTTTATCTTCACAGACCATCAGTGTTCAATGCTGCTAAATTCAGAGTTTGCACATATAGACATTGTGGATTAGCATTTCAGAGGGAAACCTTGTAGAAAAAAAGAAATCATGCACCACTTCAAATAATTCTCTCCTTATGTATCCCAAACTGGCCTCAAACATGCAGCCTTCCTGCCTCTGCTTCTCAAGCACTGGAATTATAGGCATGTGCCACTGTGCCCAGTTTCTCCTTCTCCTGTAAATGAACAGTGCCTTTTTGTTAGGTACACATGAGTGCAAAGATTACAAGCCAGAGTAATACCACCAACTGTCATGACTGATGGGCCAATGGACTTCATACCATCTTTAGACATTCATCCCACCCTTCTAAAATAAAACACTACATTGATATCCCAAGGTATATGCTTATAACATTTACTACACCTGCCTATCATCTTAGATTCTGTAGAAGCACTGAGTTTGAATGAGTGGTTTTTCTTGTACTTTTACACAAACACCTAGATGATATTAATGTCTTCCTTGATGGACTGACTTAATAGTAATAGCAGATGTCACCACTAAAACACAGATTTGTGAACATGTACAGATAAAATTATTCATCATCTTGGATAGGACATTGCTCATAGTTTGCTAAGATCCCACAGGGGGAAGTATAGTAAACACCTGTTCCACACTACAGCAGTGAACTCCATCTTTCAGAGCTGCTCTTGTGTTGAAATGGTGTGATATTGAGAGAAAATTACATAATGAACAATTGTAATGTACCCATCCATATGGAAGTGGTTATATGTTGACCATGAAACAAATACTTGCACATTGTGGTGAAGTCTTGGGAGACAGAGAAAAGAAGAGTATTACCATACCTAGGAAACTATCCTCCACAAAACTGGAAATTCATATGATTTGACAGCAAGACACCAGCTGTACCCGGCTCTGCTGAGGCAGTCACAGTTTCTGGTTCAAGATCCTTCTTACCTTTATTTTATTTGCAGGCACAGTAACTGGTGGCCTGTATACTCGTCATCTATCTGCCCCATCATGACTCACATCCTCCTGTGGCTATTCCTGGGCCTTAGGGTCCCTGCATCCCTTAGGAGTCCAGATCCTGTATAACTCATTAAAAACATGATAATTACACAAGATCTTTCTAGAACAAATTTACTCCAGGGGTTTCAATTGGAAACCAATTATTATCAGAAATACTCATTCCTACACTTAGGGGAAACACAAATTTAAAGAACAACAATAAACAAATTGCCTAAACAATTGACAGCAACAGGAAAGTGTAGGGAGACACTGTAGTCCGCCTCCAGGTAACCCGGACAGGTGTGCCAAAACACGCCCGTGAGGGCGGGGTGAGGGGAAGTCTAAGGTGACGTCAGGAAGGCTTCTTAAGGGACTGGGACACGTGGACCTCCTCTTCCCCTTCTGCTAGCCCTGGTCCCGGCTCCCTCCTCCTCACTTTGGCCTGCGTTTGGCTGGTGTATCCGAATAAAGAAACCTTGCCCAATTGCCTGAAGAGTGATCACTTAACACGTAGCACCCACCGGATCCTGCCGGTGCAGCTCCAGACTCCCCAGCGGGTCCTCGCTGCGTTGGACAGTGGAAACCACACGAGAATGCTCGCCGTGGCTTCCCGCTGCTACTATTCCCAGTTACCTCCCTCCCTGTCTCCACTTCGGCTCCCCACTGCCGCCACTTTGTTTCCCGAGCTCTGCCCGCCATCCGCTGGGCCAGACCCTGGGTGCATCCGCTGCAGGGTGAGCTTCTTCAAATTTAGCTGTGGGCACCGTCACCTGCCTGACGCAAATACCCACCAGGTAGGTTCTAAAAAATTCCTTAGTGGCTAGAAATTTTCTGAAAGCTCAGATCCTACTTGAAATAGACTTGGCTTCGCCACCTGCTGGTCAGACGTAGTTACTGCACCTGAAAATGGCATTACCAATAAATGTGGCTGAATTTCTGTCGCCCTCCTCTCTGTATAATCTCTCATATTCTTATATGTATTCGGTGCTGGAGGAACAAGCTGACTTACTGAATATTGGCTTATTAGCTGTGAATGTATTAATTCACATATTGTCGTTTCTCAGGAACAAAGGAACCGCCCGCCTACGGGACATGCAAGCTTTGCGTAATGAGGTTATGGAAGGGACAAGGACGACTTATGAAATGCTTATGGAGATGGTAGAACAGAAACCAGATGATAGGCTTCATTCTATGTTTTATATGATACAGGCAGATCTGTCTACTACTCAAGCTGAAATGCAGCACATTTATAATAACATACAGTTTAGGCAGAAGGAAGACCATCGTGAATTGAAACTTATTTTAGGGGTTTTACAGGCAAAGCAAGCGAAAGACCATGATGTATTACAAGGTGTTGTACGAGATTTAGAGGTCAGGCAAGCTACAGACCATGATGAGCTGAAGACTATTCTAGGGATGTTACAAGCTAAGCAGGCTTCAGACCATGAGGTAGTAATGGGTGTTTCAGAGGAGTTGGGGACTAGGCAGGCAGCGGACCATGAGGAATAAAAAGTAGGATGTAGCCAACTAGAAACTCAACTAGGCTCTCTCTCCTATTCCTTT